AACTTATAATCCAACACAAACTGTTAGGATCCTATTTACCCAACAAGGAACTTTTGCTTGGTTTTGATTTTCTTCACCAGGTAAAACTTCAATGGACCCACAAAGGACTACACCACAAATCCTTGACTTTACCCTGAATTGCATCCATAGACCAGAAACCAAGCCTTGAAACTGTTAAACAATAAATTTTGACAAACTGTTGTGCTAATTCCCATACTGAGTTTTTAAAAAAATGTACAAATCCTCTGTGGAGAAACCATAACTTTTATGTCAAATTACCTTTTAAGAAGAATGAGGATATAGACCCTACAAAAGCTTCACACAGAGGTTTAAATCTAGACCTTTTGGAACAAGCTAAACTGGAAATCCAAGAGTTGATAAAGGAACAATTAATTGAACCTACAAGTTTACCTTGGGCTTGTGAAGCCTTTTATGTAAATAAAAAAGCAGAACAAATTCGACGAAAACTCAGATTCGTCATCAATCCTTAAATAATTTTTTTGCTGATGACAAATTTCTTCTGCCAAACTAAACAACAATGTTTTCTCAAATTTCAAATGTACACATCTTTTCTAAATTTGATTTAAAATCAGGATTTTGGCAAATAAGAATTCACCCAGATGACCGTCCCAAAACAGCTTTTTGTTTACCAAATTACCACTTTCAATGGATAGTCATGCCTTTTGGTTTGAAAAATGCTCCAACATATTTTCAAAAAGTTTTAAGCCACATCTTTGAACCAATTTCAAAACAGGCTCTAGTATACATAGATGACATACTCCTTGTCTCCTTAGATCTCATGAGTCATATCATATTATTGTAAAAATTCTATTCCATTTGTTGTGAATATGGAATAATGCTCTCTGAAAAAAAATGTCTTTGCTACTACAAATATTGATTTTCTTGGAATGCATTTCCAGAACGAAAAATACAAACTACAGCCTCATGTAGCAAAACATGTGTTAGAGTTTCCTAATACTCTTCCCACTGTAAAACAAATCCAACAGTTTTTAGGCATTGAAAATTACATGTCCCCTTTCATTCCTAAGCTTTCTCTATTCACCAGTCCTCTTTATCTTCTTCTAAAGAAAAAAGCACCACCATGGACATACAAACAAACTGAGTGTGTTTTTAAACTCAAAGATTTATCTCAAAATCTTCCCCCTTTAAAAATCCCTTCTGATGGAAAACGGATTTTACAAACTGATGCTTCAGATGAATTTTGGGCATGCATTTTGATTGAAGAGAAGGAAAAAATAAGAATGGTTTGTGGATACAAAAGTGGAAAGTTCAAAGAATCTAAACAACATTATCACTCTACATTCAAAGAAATTGTGGCCGTAAAAAGAGGAATTGAAAAATTCCAATTTCATCTCATAGGCCATTGTTTTTTGGTAGAAATTGATGTCAAGTTTTCTGAATATGTTAAAATTCAAAAACAAGATTCTTCCCAACCCATAGTGACTCAGATGGGCAAATTGGTTTTCTCAATAGAATTTTGAAGTCAAACATATTCTTGAAAAAAACAATATTATGGCTGATATGTTCTCAAGAAAAAAACCTGAAAAAAATTCTTTCCAAATTATCCCATTTTTGGGATCCATAATCAGAATTGAAGAAGAAGAAAGAGAAGTTCCTGAAGAAATTTATGATCTCATTCTCAACAAAACAATGGAAGCGCGTAATGAATTCATGCAACAAAAAATGCATGAAATTCTGATCAAGAATCATGAAGAATGTTTTCAAGAAATTCGATGCCATCCAAAATACCTATTTTTATCTTTATTCCAAACCAGATACTATTATAACATGTCTGAAAAAGCCCTTTGTTTCTTTTGGTACCTTACCCAAAACCACCATATCTGCTTCAATTTTCATGTTAAGAAATTACTGTCTTAATAAGACATTGTCATTTCTTACAATGGAGTAAGTATGTACACCCAAACCCAAGAGCCTTCAACTTTTATAAATTCCTTTTAAAACATTATCATTATGATCAATGGATTCAGTCTTTTGATTATTATCACAAACCCTATCTCATCATAGCCTTCCATCTAGATCTACAACCTTAATATTTTCCAGAACATACCTTCATTACCCAATATCCCCATATCCAAACCATTGAATGGTATGATTCTAATGTCCTAAATTATCGGATGTTCCAGACAGAACAATGGAAAGAATTAAAAATTCTTATGTGCTACATTAACAGAATCCAGTCAGAATGGATTCCTTTAGAAATCTTTGCAGGAACCATAGTATGGAATGATGAAACTCCCCTTGGTGCTACCCTTCTCCACCAACTATACCTCTGGTTAGCTGATCATCCTCCTCTTGAATGATAGATTGACACTAGATCTAGTGATGACTCTTACATTGGACCCTCTCACAGTCCCTCTAGTCATTCCTCACCAAGCTACGACTCTGATGGACTACCACTAGCCTATGACATAGACTGAAGGATAAGGATGATGTCTTCTCTAAACTTTTCTACCTGTCGGAAAACCTGTCTTTTCATCACAAGATGTTGTCACTATTCCCAGATGCTGTCACTATTTCCACTACCAGATGATGTTACTGTACCCACTTTACACTGTATTACTTTATACCAGCTGTCACTGTACCAAATGATGTTACTGTACCCACTTTACACTATATTACTTTATACTGTACCCACATGGATCCACTAAATCATGTCGGACAGGTGTCCTTTTTATTTTTTTCTTTGAAGTCCGGATTTGAAATCCGTTGCCTATATAAGGCCTCTTAGGATGTGTTTTAAGGCAAGAGCCTCTCAGCCTAGTCAGTCATGGTGTGCTTTACTTATGCCTGCTTTTTGCTTTGGTGTGTCTTCATGTAAATTTCCTTCATATCAGGTATTTTATAAATGCCTCTATTATCTTATGTGTCTTCAATTGTTTTCATTTAAGTTTGTTTTCTATGCTTCATTTAATCATACCAGAGTCAAGTTAAAGAAATCCACGTTACTATTTTGACTGGGTTAACATTCTATTCATACTGAGATTAGTATGCTCTATGTCTGCCTAGCTGGTCTAGTTAGTCATGGTGTGCTTCATATAGGGAAAGCTTTATATAGGCCACTATGTATAGGAAATTAATATACCTCAGCCTTTTAGTCACTTGAGTTGAATGGATGGCTATGATAGCTTCGACCATAATGTCACAAGTCAACCCCTAACTATTTGATATAGATCTGATATCTTATAGTGTTCTATTGTTCTTTTTCTTTTTCTTTTTTTCTACAAATCATATGAATATGAAATTTGGCAAGTGTCATCATCACAATAGAGTGCACTTAAAAAAAATATTTTAAAAGTAAAATAATAAAATGAACGAATTACTCTTAAAATTTTCAAGGGTATCATCATCTTCATAGCCTATTCCCAATTTATTGGATCGGCTACATAAATCTTGGTCCGCTATTCTGCTCTAATAAAGGTTATACCCTCAATGAGGCCATAAATTCCCATATCTTTTCGAACTACTTCCAACCACGTCTTTTTGGGCCTACCCATTACCCTTTTAAGTCATTCCACTTGAACTAACTCGTACCTCCTAACATGTGCTACACTTGGTTTGTGCCACACATGTCTAGCTGACTTAAGCCTAATCTCTCTCATCTTATCACCTATTGGTGCCACATATAAATTCTCCTGAATAAATTCATTTTGAATTCTATACCTTCTTGTCTTGTCACTCATCTATCTCAACTCTCATAGATATCTGATTTGTTTTGAAAAATTAAAGTAAAATAATATTTAGGCGAGACATTGTGATTGAAATCATCCTAGCCATCCATTCAAATTGGCTAGGAGAGGGGTGGCATATATAAATTCCTTATACCTAGTGTCATATAGAAAACTTTCTATTAGTTATTAAGGATAACGAGGGGCAAGTTAATTTGGACGCGTATCTTGCTATTCCCACCCTAAAAATCCATACATGTTCACCGGTGCTAATCGCAAATCATGGGTGCAATTAGCAATCCTTCTTCATTTCGGAAATATAAAAGAGTAATATGTCATTTTCAAGAGCATGGGGTTTCTATGAGTCAGTCGATTCACACTGTACCTATGAAGGCCCTCATTAAATCATCTTAAAAATGGATTTGGTTAAGATTATCAAGAACATGATAAATAAATAAAGATTTTGATAGTTAAAATACGAGTTTTTTGAAAAACATTCTACATGTATAAGCTCTGTAAATTTTTTACAACGTCAATCATAAAAATGGACGTTGCGGAGTCAGCGGGTGCAAGGGCTCTTGCACCACCCGCGGACTCACGAACGGCTTTTCCTTTTCAAAATATTAAAAAGGTGATCTTCCACGAGTGCATGGTAATTCTGTAAGTGAATAATTTGATGGTGTATTACTTGTCTCCATCACTGAATGTGAAAGATAGTAATTGATTTAAAGCAATCGCATAGTCAGTAGTACCTACTAAGTGAATAATTTGGTTGGCCAATGTTTGCAAACTCGGCAGGTCGAACTCGGACCTGGCCGGTCAAATCTGAATCGAGTTTGGTGGTCTTGGCAGGATATTTTAAAAAATAAATAAATAATATTATATAAAATCCTCAAAAAATAAGGAATTTATTTACAGTGCGTTTTTTAATATATTTTTTATCGTTTTGGTAAAGATTGGAAAGTTTTTTGGTTATGAATATTTATTTTTATATTTTTCCTTCTTTAAAAAAAAAAATTAATAAAATTCCCCTAGGCACAATATAAATTTTTAAAATTCATTTTTTCATTATTTTTCAATTCCATTTGAATGAGTTTGTTTAATTATACTTTAAATATATATTTTTATATTTTTTAACTGTTTGGACCGGCTAATTAGACCAGTTTACCAGTTACTTGGAGCCGACTCGTGGCCGGATTTGAAGGTTGGTTCGATTTTTGGAACACTGATTTGGTCTATGCTGCGTGGGACCCCAAGCAACTCACTCATTAAATAGTGGTAAATGACACTTACCACCCAATTTCTGAAAGCTGATTGTTTTATCTTCCCACTTTCTTCAGCCCCCTCAAAAAGGGGAAATATGATGCAGACATCGTCTTTCTCCAAGAACTTCAACAGATCTTCCATCTCAATATACCTACAATTCAATATCGACCCATGTTCAAAATTCTCTCTAATGAAGATAGCATATATCATATCCCCCATTATCAATAGCAAATCACACACTCATAAATAGTAATATCTATTCAAATAATTGAATTGTTCAAATATAAATTCAATGTGTATGGATGAATGAACCGAAAATAAGGGTGAGGTTTTCATAAGGACATGGCTATATGGAAACTTGGTAAATTTTGAAGAACTAAAATGAATGGTCAAGAAAAGTGTTACAAGATGGATAATTATTTAGAACTTGATATCAATGTTTTATTTCTGATCATTGATGTAGATACGATCGATTTGTAAAGTTTCCAGCGTCTGAACTTATTTTTCCGGAAATTTATAAAAAGTTATAAATACCCCACAAGAGCATACTTGCTAAACATTTTATCCACTACTACTTTTTAAATCACACCACTAACCCCAATACTATTTTTTTTTACATCAACCCCTAAATACAAAAATAACATTTTTAAGGATGAAAATACCCCAAGTAAACCCATGTTCCTTTCTATCTCTTCACTATCTCTCACGGCTTTTAAATTTTTAGAGAGTTTCTATCTCTACAACTTAAAATTTTAGATAACTTGAAATTTGAGATAGTCTTTCTTTCTGAAAATTTACGTTAATTCTCTCTAAAACTTTAAATAATTTTTTCTCTCTAAAAATTTTGAGATAGTTTCTCTTTCAAATAACGACACAGTTTCTATGCGGCCAGCCTGCATAGTGTAGAAATATGGGCTTGACAATGAATATATTTTTTAAATATAATTTGATCATAATTTTAAGAGTCTATAATTAAAAAAACATTTGGACCGTTGGTTACAATTGTTTTTAGATGGATCACCTTACATCCATCTTTAAATTTAAAGATGGATGCTTTATACCTTTGGACCGCATATTACATAAATCCGGTCCAGCCCGTATGAAACAATTTTCCTTCAAATAATTTTGATATAGTTTCTCTATAAAAACTTGAAATTCGAGATAGCTTCCCTTGTAAAACTTTTTAGATTTTCTCTCTCTAAAATATCAGTTTTCGACTTTCTTGATAGAAACTATCTTAAATACATTAGGGATATTTTCATCTTTAAAAAATTACCTTTTTACTTAAGGAGTGGATGCAAAAATAAATACTTTTTTTTATTAGGTTGCGGTTAAAAAGTATTGTGGGTAGCATGCATACAAAGTATAGTACAAAGTGTATCTATAATTTTCCCTAAAATTTAACGACCTCTTGTGGACCGATCTCTCTTGATGCCAAACTTATAAAATCACAAAAATAAGGCCTTGATAAGATTTCAAAAAGCAAGACACATGAAAGAAAAAAGGCTCAAATTAAAGTTTGCATAAAACAATAAAGGAAAGGTTTCTATACTTTTCCTACAATATAGAAGATCTATGCTTCCCCTACCATCCAGCCATCCAATTTTGATAGAGAGAGCTACTCACCGTTTGATCTTTAGATCCGACGTCTCAAAGTATTTTATATTTTGTTTTTTTAATAAAAATTGTATGAATATTAAATTTGTTACGTGCCATCTTCTCATTGGGGCACACCTATAAAAAATATTAAAAATAATTTTTTGATAAAATATAATGACCAAAATACCCTTTGAAATTTTCAAGGGTATTTTTATCATTTTATTTTATTCGAAATATTTCTTTTATATTTTTCATTAGTGCGAGTTTAATAGAGGATTGAACGTACAAAATTTGGTGTCAAAATAGTTTGTAGAAACAAATTTAAAAATAAAAAGGTATAGAGATGTGACATTGTGATTGGGACGATCTTAGCCCTCCATTCAAAATGGAAGGATCGGATAAAAAGAAATATATAAATTTTATGATGTAAAAAAAGCACAGAAAGCTAAAAAAAACAAAAGACGAGAGAGACGAGACAATGATTTATGGAACCTTAGTTTTGGCAAAGGGACAAAAACCAGCAACATAAATAATTCAAGGGGCAGGTTTCCTCCATTAAACTTGTCGTATTAAGCTTATCTACAAATAAACACGTCATTCAGCTAATTAAATAAATAAAATTAAAATAATGGAACCTCCAACAAGAAGTCTAAATTATATACAGTAATAGTAATAGTAATAATAATAATAATAATAATATATTAACGACTTACTTAAATAGATTTGCTAGCCAACTTCCATGGAGTTGGTGAACATTATTGACAGTAACAAAATGTTTGGGGCACAAGATTCCCTAAATCTTTGGTAATTGCTAATGATTAATTTAGCGGTAGACATTGCTATTTAAGGGGAAACCATGAAATACGAATGAAGCATGAAATCTTAAAAGAGTAAAATAAAGTTGAATAGAGATATAATTCAGGATATTTTACAATAGGAAAAAGTTTCTATAATTGCGGAGCTTTAAACAATCACAGGCCAAAAATTTCAGGTTTTTTTTTTTTATGCCCAAATATTTTCAAATGGATCATCTTGACCTCAAGATGCATGGTCATGAGAAAAACACGGATTTCAAGTTTTGGAAATTGCCTCAAGATGTATGGGCATGAAAAAAAAATGGATTTCAAGTTTTGGTAATAATGCGTCATTCTTGGACAGTCAAGTTTCAAGTTTTTGTGGATATGGATCTATACTATTTTTGAAGCTTTAAATTTTATAATTAGAGATGAAAATATATTTTAAAGCTATTACAAAGATTTGGAGTATTGAAACTACATTTTTCAACATATTTGAAAGTAGGTGCGTTTTACTTTTAGGCTCTATACAAACCGCATCTTTATTAAAATGAGGTAGAGTTACATTTATTTAAAATTGATTTTCAAAAAAAATAAATTTGGTTATACGATTGTTAGAAAAAGATGAGATGAGATGAGATGAGAGTGAGGAGCAGAACTTACTTCTCCCCAGGCTTGGCAACATTCTCAAAGATCCTCTGCGCCTCGGCCTTGGCCTCCTTCTCGCTCCTCGCCTCCTCCTCCGACTTACTGAACTCTCTCATCATCTCGTCCACTGCATTCGACACTGACCCCAATCTGCCGGTGGTGATCACTGAGTTCACCATCCTCTTCATGCTCCATGCCGAAACATTCCCCTTCTTCAACCTCTTCAATCTTTCCGCGTCCACCTTAAAAGTATTCTCACTGTCACTCCTCTTCTTCCTCTTCATCTCCTCCATGACCACTCGCCTAAAGCTGGCTCGGGGATTCCCTCTATCCTGTCGACCGGAGACTTCATCGAGAGGGGGGCCTGCTAATGACTCTAACACATGGTGGTAGTAGAGAGAGATCTTGATCCTCTCAAAGAAGGTGTTAACATGAAAACCAGAGGCCAGGAGCTTGACTAATAGGATCTTAATTAGCCATGTAATTGCAGCTATAGAGCCAGCAATCAAGGCCTTGGACACAAACACTAAAAGCCTATGGCTCCTCCTATCCATGTCCACCTTTGAATCAAAGACCAATGACCAAGCCAAGAGCACAATACCTAACCAGACAATATTTTGGACACTCTTCCTAAGGCCATAGACAAAGTACAAGAGCCTAATTCTAAGCATGAAATTTCTTTCAATCGAGAACACAAGAAGACTGATCAACCAGCCTGAGAAGAGCCTACCACAAAAGATCACCATCATCATCACACACCATTTCCATATCTTCAATCCCCAAAGGGACTCTCTCTTCAAGGGCTTAATAGTTAGGCTTGTGATCAAACAAGTCATGATGGTAACAAAAGAGACCCACTCTACTAAAACTCTCCATCCTGGCTTACACTTCTTTTCCTTATACTTCCCTGGTAGATCCTCATCCTTGAATGTGTCTTCCTCCTCGTCGCCGCCGACCTCTGATCGTCGAGATGATCCGGGATCGAAGCCGGAGTTCTCCATGGCCTTTGTGGGCGCTTGAGGGCTGTAGTCTGTGAGCCTAGACTTGGGTCTTGACAATGCCACACTGGTTAAGGTTTTGCTATTCAATAAAGATTTTAAACGTTGGTTTTCATTTGGATTTCTAGTGGAATTTGGGTTTATGGGGGGTTTTGCATATGGGTTACTGGTGGGGTTGGCCATAATGGGTTTGGGGATGTTGGGTTTTGAGCTTTGGACCTCTAAGGCAGGCATTGAGTGCTTTTCTTCCTTCGGGGCCTCCTCTTTGAGACGGTTTGAATCTGTGGTTTTGGGGTCTGTGTTCCCTGATTCCATTTGCAGGACTACCTGATCTTCTTTCGGTTTGTCTGGGGTTTGGGGAGAGGGGTGGTTCAGGGCCATGAAAGGAAGTGGAGCTCTTCTTCTCTCTCTCTCTCTCTGGCCTAGTTCAGGGATTAAAGAGTTCTCTCTTTTTCCCTCTCCTCTCTCAAAAGTATGAACCACTGTTCAGATCATAATGAAGTCTCATTTTCGCACATGGACTATATTTATGTGAAATAGATATTAACATGAAAAGTTTGGATACTGTGATCCCGCGAGAGCAAACTATACTTCTACTCCCTCACACAAAATGCTTCTTTAAAAATATTATTTTCGATTCAAATTTTTGGGAACCACATAATAATTATTGGAATATTATTTTCAAAGAAAAAATTTTGAATTTTAAGTTTCTTAAGATTTAGATATAGCTCTTAAAAAATTAGACATCTTTATTCAATCTTGACGTTTTTTTTTTTTTCTATAGTACATAAAAATTTAATTTTGGAATTGTTTTTTGGAAATTCATTTTGGAGTTATAGTTATTACATCCCTAGATCTAAAAGGAACTCCTAGCATGCGTTAGACCTATAGGAGTAAATAAATAATACACTCTTGTAGGACTAGGAAATCGTTTGGGTAAAGTGAAAAGCACGTACCTTTGACTAAAGAGTAATGCAACCATACGACACGATAAGAAATGACGTGGACTCCTTAATGCCTTGTGCATGATAAAGCTTAAGAAATGATGTGGACTCCTTAATGCCTTGTGCATGATAAAGCTTATGAATGTGCATCACAAAAAATTGGGATATTTTTTGAGAAAAGTATAGAATGAGGCTATTTACTAATGATTTAAGTGGTCACGATTAATTTAGATTTTTGATCATTAAATGCGAAATTGGGTGATTGTATTTTTTCAATAAATCAAGCTCGAACTTTAAAAAAAATTAAATTAAATTTTATGACACGTTTAGACTATTAAATTTTGCATGAAATCGTTGTGCTAAATAAATACAACTATATTGTACCAAAAATAAATAATCTCATTCCTTATATTCAAACAAAAAAAAATTCAACAACACTCTAATAAAATGGCACTAGAAACACGACAGTCATGCTAAAACAAAGCAAATTGGAACGCTTTTCAGTACGGTGTACAGCAGTAGTGTGTACTCTTTCGGAACCAAAAGGGAAATTAACTTTTTTATTAACTTTTTTTTTTTTTTTTGGGAAAAAGTTGTTTATACGTTGGTCCCTTGAGGCATAAACCGACGATCTAAATATGAATAAGATGAATGTGACTAATGGTCCCTTCAAGGAAAAGGTTTTATTTTTCATTTCTAGCATTAACTTAGGTCTATTAATAGGAGCACAAGCACAAGATTGCAAAGAGTTGCAAAAAAAAGAGAGGTAAAAATTAATATCTCAAATATTTCCTTTTAATATATATCATGTTAGCTTTTTCTTCTTCTTTTTTTTTAGCACGTTAGTGATGTTTATGGTAGATATTGTATATTTCTTAAAAATTAGGATCAAGGGTTATTTCATTATTAAGGGGGCCGCATTTGTATATATTGGTCCGAGGACTCGTAGAAACATTATCCCTTATTGGGTATATGTAAAAGCAAATTTTAAAACTTGTTAGGGACACTGACTCTGGTTTGGCCCGAGTTCGAGTAATTCAGCCGAGTTATATGTCTAAGAAAAAAAATTGGGAAAAATTCAGAAAATGAAAAGTTGGTAAAAATAATTAAAAATCAGTAAAAAGTAAAATAAGTACTCAAATTTTTGTGAACAATTTATAAAAGAAAGGTGAATTATTGAAAATTTTCATTTATATAATGAATATTTTAAAAAAATAAAAATAGAGTAAATAACACGAAAAAAGTTCCAAAGTATAAAAAAATTATAATAAATAAAATATATTTATAAATCATATATTAAATTTTTAACAAAATTAATGAGTTTTTAATAAGTTTTAGCAAGTGCAAGTTGGCCCCTAGGAATTCGCCTTGGCCGAGGCCGAGTAGGCTCATCCGACTCCCTGAATACTGAATAAAAGATCGCCAATCCATTTGGCATTGAGGGTTAAATGGGAATCCATGGCGTTCTTGAAAGGATAATATTTGTATAAGGTTGCAA